CAGAGGTTTCAGATGTTCACTGGAGGTCTTAGAATATATCCTACACAGATAAAGGGAACTGCTATGATAAAATGGTGGTTGTTTTAAATTATTTAATTTTGGATAGAAATAGATGACTGGAACACTAGGCTTGCAAAATTTTAGGCTAATTTATATAAAATTATTCTGTGGTCATCTCACTCTTCCTAAACCTTTCTAATCCCATGACAGAGGACAAATTATAATAATTTAGTTTTAAGATCTCAATTAGCTTTCTTTGCAATTCTAGAATCAGGTAACACTTCATTCTGTAAAGTAGAACAAGTATTCCCAATGTCCATTTTAATTACTTTTTTGAGATGATGTTTGTCAGGCTTCTTCTCTGTCATTACTCCTTCTCCCCTTTGCAATTAGTAATTATAATTTTAGTGTTAGTTCTATGGGGCAGTACTTTGAATAGTAGGAATCCCATTCCTCATCAAACTTCCAATGTCATTGACTTATTTATATGGACTTGGGTTTCTATTTTATTCAAATATAATCTAGAATTATAATCTTTTACTATTAGTTTGATATTTAAACTGTCCCTAATTTGGCAAGTAGTAGCTCATACTCAAACTGGCTTCTCTCTTTGACATATACCCATTGTGGTTTTTGTTTGTTTGTTTGTTTATTTGTTTTCTGGTACCGGGAATTGAACTCACGACCTAGAGCTTGCAAAGTTCTGTGCCGCTGAGCTAAATCCCCAGCCCTGCCCCCATTATGTTTTGATCACTTTCCTGCTTTCTGGAATACACTTCCAAGGAATCCTGGTTTCCTTGCATGGAAAATGAAATTTGGAAGCCAAGTGCTGTACACTAGGCTTTATTCATTGTTACTGTGTTATGGTTTGTGTCTAGATGTTCCCCCAAAGCCTCATGCAGTCATGGGGTGGGCTTCTAGAATTTGTGATTGACTCATGGTCCAATGCTGGGATTATGGGTGTGAGTGCTACACTTGCTCTCAGGTGGGTAGCCTGCATACAATATAAGGGAGGGAGAGAGGCTTGCTTTGCTCCTCCCTTTTTGCTCTTGTTGCTTTTGCTGTTTTCCACCACCATGAACTGTTGTGCTTTGCCATGTGCCATCCTGCATTGGAGCCAACTGAGTATGGACTGAAACCTCCACAAATTGTGAGTTAAATAAACCTTTCCTTCCTTAATTCTGGGCATCAGGTATTTTGTGTCAGCAATGAGAGAAAAGTAACAAAGACAGAATTTAGTACCAGACGAGTTGGGTCATTGCTGTAACTATACTTGACCGTGTGGTGGTTCAAGAGCCTTTGGGAATGACTTGTAGGAAGTGTTTGGAAAGGTTTGGAGTTGTCACCTGAAGGAGTAGAGGTGGAGCACCTTAGGCTGTTCTGTATGGGAGATTTTGCTCAGAGCTCAGAAGACCAGAAGGCTGATAGAAATCTTGCTGGTAAGGACCAGGTTTAGAAGGTTTCTTCTGGGAGAAAGAATTGCATTGGCTGTTGGACATATCCGGATGATATATGTTATGGCTTGGCAAAAAATTTGGCTGCATTTTGCTTATGTCTAGTGACTTTGCCTGAGAACAAGATTAAGGGTGGTGGACTAACTAATCTTGTAAAAGAAATTTCAAGGCAATCTAATATTAAGATGGTGGCATGACTATTGTTGGGGGCTGTTAGCCAGATTTATGTTG